TATAATCAGGCCCCAAAATACACATTTTGTCTCTCCAAACACACGAGAACCTGTTGTTTGAGCTGCGTGCCTAGACGGGATTATTAGCCGCATTTTGTGGCCTAAAGGCGCAAAGCGTTAAACACACGAAACCAATTACAATTCTTCCATTTTGTATGTTCCACAGCACATGCACAACTTGGATTGTGGTGCGGGGTTTGTGGTTCGGGTTGCTGGCTAAGTCGCTTGCCTCAGTTTAGTCTGTCGGCACACAAATCTCAGGTATTTTGGTAGCTAATAAAGTTTGCCTTAAAGTATTTGGCTGCAGAAGTTTCTTTGGACCCGTGGTCTCCACTCAAGCATATTTGTTTTAATATTAGTTAGCCTCAGGCATGCATGAAATGCGTATACACAACATCTAAGGGTTGTTTACCTAGTTTAGCAACAGACTCAACTTCACCTCCAGCTTCAGCGTCAGCTTCAGCTCAGGATACGTGCTTTGAGCTACGCCCACATTGAGTAGCAATTTTTATGCGCCCAATATCAATAATTTTGTAGGTTTTATTGTTATTTGCGCATATTTTTATGTATTTACTGGGCCGTTCCACGAACTTAGCTCAAAGTGAAACCCCAGCCCAAGTCCAACTGGTATACGGGCAAAAAGTTGGCACGGCATCGAAAGTTTTTACATTGCGTCGCTTTGCTTAGGACTGGATAGGAAATGAAAGTGAAATTGTTTTCTTGCCATATTTATGTTTGCTGACCTTTATTAAAATGACTTTCGTAGCTTTGTTGTGTGTCATTGCTGTGTGGCAAGCAAATGCCTGCCGCTCATTAATATGTCTCACGTAATGAAATCACCAATTATTTTCGATGGGTAGACACAATTACGTTGCCAAGGAGTGTCCTGTCGAGTGTTAGCTTGATTTGAAAGATATTATAATTAATTAAGCCGCTGGAGTAACTGATTGACATTGTTTTTATTTGAATAATACAGAGGTACATAGTAGAAAATTGCATTCGTATGCCTTGATACCAAGATCTCGAATATCGATATATATCGACGACTTCCGATTGCAATAAAAGCCACAATTTAAATGGCAAAGACTTCTAAATCATATATAATAGAACATGACACATAATCTCAAATGTATTTTAGGGTATCTCGTATTCGAGATCACTTGACTAATGTAATCTTATCAGATTTTTGCCTTCTCTCAAAATGCTTCCCTTCTATTAGATTCTTCATTAACTTTTATTTGTTTCTCGGTTAAAATAATGCTCTCATATTAGATGATATATTAGAATGGGCCACTCACACATCTCTGCCATAGCTAATCAAATTAAAAATGTTTGTGCAACTGTCAAAAGTGTCGCTGTTGCTGATTACCTGACATCCAGACATAACCAAGTACGCACCACCTACGCCTGGCAACGTCGTACAGCAGTTGCCAGTGTCGCCCACATTTTTTTCCGGCTCTACACCCCCCCAACTCCCTCGTCGGGTGTCGCTAAAATTTATCACACCGTCGCAGACATTTGTAACTGACGTACACGGGCATAAAGAAACATTTTGAGAGGGGATTGCGGTGTGGAAGGGAATTTGCATATCTGCTCATATGTGTACACCTGTCAAAGTTATTCATATTTTAGACGTTGTGCAGCATTTTGGCTTTGTCTTTCTTTGTTTTTTTTTTTTACATGTGTTGCTATTAATTTTTTGCTCCGCCGCGTAGCAAATTGGAGACGTCGCCTAATCTGCATTACAGTGGTGCGTAGGTGCTGTCAAGCCATTAGCTGCAGGACGCTGACATCCTTGTCCAGGTGTCAGCCTGCGCATAAGAATACACCAAAAGTATGATTGAATATTATTTGATGTGAATTTCGAAATTTCCTTATGCACGCTTGCCATTTATGTAAATGTCACAATTTGTTTTGCTTACTTTATGGCTGTCATCGAAATGTTGACAGGTTGGAGGGGATGAGGATTTTGGGGCGATGGGGGTGAAAATAACCTTGTATTTCAAGTGTTACAAATAAAACTTTTGTGATTGCTGTTGAAATTTATGATACTGTGGGGGAAATTCAATTGTCGCAGCAAGTAAAGTTAATTGTGCTACAGTTGTGAAATGAAAATTAATCACTTATCAACATTTTTGTTTGGCACACAATCTGCGGGTGCAAAGGTATCTTAGCGTATCTGGGTACTCAATGGATATTTTTGTAATTTCTGCACGGCTGAAATTGTAAGCCTGGCAGAGACTATATGCAACAGTGGCAACAGTGGCAAAAACCAATCGGCTTGTCCCCGGGGCGTTAAAATGAATGCATAAATTACCAGCTGTGCGCATCTTTTTTCACAGCCTACTTATCAGCGCAACGAGTATTATTTTGTGTCGTTATGCTGCCTCTCCTTCATTTTTTTTTTTTTTTTGTGTACAGTTAATACGATATTGGTTTTTGAGAGGCCATCGCATCGAGTGTTTGACCTTGGGCCCGGCTTTGCACAAACACATTAAGTGGCAACTTATGCAACTTTGTCTGCTATCGATGGAAATCAATTTGGACAAGCTGAAGTTGAAGCTGAAGCTGAAATCCAACACGGAGTCTCGCAGGCGGACGGTCTACACAGGATACGCAGGATACGGGCTGTCACGCACCCACACGATACAAATTGGTCGCATTCAGAAGTTGTCCCTGGCAATCACAAATTATCTTTAAATCCGGGCCTTGGCATTTCCCGGATTTTTCCAATGCATTCGTATTTTGATTTCGATGCCCGTCTCCAAATTCAAATAAGCGCAAAAAGGGACAACACAAGTGAGCGAATGCTCAATCAACTTAAGTTTCCCACCCCGTCCCCTTTCTTTTCTTTCCCTCCCCGTAATCAAATGCGAAATAAGACAAAGGACGTAGGACAAAGGACACATCGCAATGACGGAGTGTCAGCTACAGTCTTGCCATTGTACAGCAGACTCAACAGCCGTGTAACCAAGGATAAGCCTAGATAAGACATCCGGCACTGCATGCATACACTGTAATATTTTATGCACTGAATTTCCAATGAGACTATTCTCATTCGTTTACATACAGAGTTGTTCAACTCCTGCTGAAGTTGCCTTTTCAGAGTTGTGCGATGAAATTCGAAATTTTACTCTTAAAGTAAATTCGGAAAGAATTTAATAGAACACTTTTAGAATTGTTCGATAATAAATTATTAATTCATCCTTAATATGATTCAGCTAAATATATTATATTTTATTGTTCTATGAGCAGTCTACATAGCTAAATAATTACTTATAAATTCAGTGATGAGCCTATGTAGTTAAATTACGACATTTATTTTTAATTCTAAAATTAATATGTTCAAGTAAACAGTTAAGAATGTTGTCATTAATTATGCAATGTTGCCTTGTGACCTAAAAGCGGCTATCAAATGAAATATAATTATTCTAATTAATCATTCAGCCCTGCTCACTATTCATTCATACAAAAAGCATTTTCCTATAGCTTTATTTATGTCCAGCGGAGCGATATCCAGACAAGCTTGTACTTTTCGTTAAGGTAACTTAATTACCTTTAATATCATATAAATAGGCACAGCCAGTGAAAATGATACTTATTCGAATTGTTTGTAGTTTTGGCTGTATTCGGCTTTCAAATTAAGCTACGAATATTCCTAACAAACTTTAATACTCTTTACTTAGACTAGCCCAAATAGACCATTATGGTGAGTGAAAATTTGTATAGACAGAGAGAGAGAGAGAAAGAGAGAGAGAGAGAGAGAGAGAGAGAGAGACAAAGCGAGAGAGAGTGAGAGAGAAAGAAAGAGAGATAGATAGCAACAAATGTAATCAAAATAAATTACGAGCGTGTAAGCAGCCTCCGGTGTCTATTAAGGGCAATAAAAGGAAAGCACCATTTGTTTAACGCAATCTCATTATTAGATGCGTCCCGAAGCCGTAGGCACAGCTGCTGCAGCCATAAGCCGCAAGCATCCCTTCCAGGCAGGCAAGCAGGCGCCCTTGACAGTGACAAGTATTGAGGTCAGGGCGCAATGGCAAAACCGACCCCGCCACCCACCCACCAGACCTCCACCCTCCACATTCCTACCCTTATCTTGATAATGCTGCTGATTATGCTGACGATAAGTAATTTTGTATACTCCAAGTGCAGACCGAGGATGCCTCGTAAGCGGCGCTAATGCGCCCGTTGATTAGTCAGAGTCAAACTCAGAGTCGGAGTCAAAGACGGAGTCAGAGTCGGAGTCAGAGTCAAAGTCAGAGTCGCAGACAGAGTCCCTGGCGAAGTCTCCGCTTGGGGTGGTGCTCCGACACGCCGACAAGCTCATTATGCCGCCAACAATTTGATTAATTACCTCTTGCTACAGTTTTCCTCTTCTGTTTATTTTGTTTTTTTTTTTTTTACATCTACTTGTAAAAAGTCGCTGCAAAGTATTTGTGCATTATGTGTGTGGGTCGCAGTTTTGCTTCCGTTTTGTGTTGTGCCTTCGCGAATAAATTATATGCAAAATTATCATTTACCTAAGGCCAACTACGAGACAGAGGCAATAATTTTTATGAGCAAATTCCCAGCGGCGCTCGGCTCACCGCTTATTATGGGGTTGACATTTATAAGTCGACTGCTGTCCTATTAATATCCGACTTCGGTTGCAATAATGCTCCGCCTCTGACAGCAACACAACAATTTCAGCCATTTTAATGACAATGCAATACTAATAAAAAACCGCTAACATTTAATTACAATGAAAACGCACATAAATACTTTCCAAATTAAAATTATAAATCAAGCACATTGTGTGCATAAAC